CCGTTTGCTAGATTTCTAGAGGAATGCAGTATCGTCCCACATTACACTGTGCTGGGTTCGCCTAACATGAATGGTGTTGCTGAAAGGCGAAATAGAAATGCTTAAAGATATAGTGAGGAGTATAATTGGTCATTCTACTTTCTCTTACTCTTTCTAAGAGAAATATTAAAGACCGTTATATATATACTCAACAGAGTTCCAATTAAAACGACTGCAAAGACCTCTTATGAGTTTTAGACTGTCAAAAATTTTAGTTTAAAATATTTGTACATTTGGGGATGTCCAACTGAGGCTAGCCCTTATAGGCCGAATGAAAAAAACTGAACTCAAGAATTGTTAGTTGTTATTTTGTTGGATATTCTGAAAGATCTAGTTATTACAAGTTTTATGATCCCACGACTAAGTCAATTTTTGTGACGGAAAATATTTGGTTCTTTAAAGATGTTGAGTTTACGAGGAGTGGAGGGAGAGTTCGAGACCTTGTCTTTGAAGATGAATACATTGATATTCTATTGACTGCTGTTAACAATGATTAGGATTAAACTCTTATACCTGACATTACTCAAGAAGCAATTCTAGACAATGCATTGTACCTCATGTTCAAGCTCAAGAAGTTGTTCCATAAGAACAAACTCCACAACCTTAAGAACCAATGTTATTAAGAAGATCTACTAGAGAGAGGAGAAGTGCAATTTCATATGATTATATTGTATTTCTCCAAGAACATTCAGTTGATATTGGAATGGTGGAAAATAATCCAATCAACTTCTGTCAAGTTATGAAAAGTTATAACTCTCAAAAGTGGATTGATACCATGAATGAAGAGATTAAGTCCATGAAGGACACTGACGTATGAGATCTTGTCCCATTGCTTGAAGTGCAAAACTTATTGGTTACAAATGGATATATAAGATTAAGATAGATTCAAAAAGCGATGTGGAGATCTACAAACTCCGTCTTGTCGCTATGGGTTTCACACAAAAAGAAGACATCGATTATAAAGAGACTTTCTCTCCGATTTTATTGAAAACTCTTTCAGGATTATAATGTCTTTAGTGGCACATTTTGGTCTTGAGTTGCATCAGATAGATATTAAGACAATATTTCTCAATGGTGACACTAATGAGACAATTTTTATGGTGTAGCCAGAAAACTTTATGTTGGGTAATGTGAAGCAAATGATTTGCAAATTAAAGAAATTCATTTATGAACTCAAACCAACTTTTCGTTAATGGTATCACAAATTCTATTAAGTTATCATCTCATTCAGTTTTAAGATGAATACAGTGGATATTGTGTATACCATAAGTTTAGTGGATTAAGTATATTTTATTAATTTTATATGTTGATAGCATGTTGCTTGTCAGTGATGATACAAGCTTATTACACGAAACTAAGAGATTTCTAACCAAAAAATTTGAAATGAAAGATATTGGGGATGTCTCTTTTGTATTATGGATTCAGATACACTGGGATCGCTTTCGGAATATTCTTAAATTGTCATAAAAGAGTTATGTCGAAAAGTTTCTTAAGAGATTTGGTATGTAGAACTGTAAATCAGGTAACACCCATATGTCTAAATGAGATAAATTGACTCTAAGTTAATGCCCCAAGAATAACTATGAGACTAAAGAAATGCAAAAAAATTCATTATGTTTCAACTATAAGAAGTCTTATGTAAGCTTTAGATTTGTACGCGTCCGAATATTACGTACATTGTTGGAATGCTAGGGAAATATTTGAGCAATCTAGGTATGAATAATTAGAAAGTAGTCAAATGTGTTATGTGGTATCTACAGAGAACGAATGACTACATGCTCACATACAAGAGATCATATCAGTTGAAGATTATTGGTTATTCTGATTCTAATTACACCAAATGCCAAGGCAACATGGAATCCACATCAGGCTATATCTTCTTGCTTGCTAGGGAAGCTATTTCTTGGAAAAATACAAAGTAGACATTCATAGCCTCTTCCACCATGGCAGGGTTTATAACCTATTATGAGACGCCTAATCATGGAATATGACTGTGAAAGTTTGTCATTGGGATGCGTATTGTAGATGAAATTGAAATACTATTAAAGTTACTTTGTTACAATAAGTCTGCAGTTATATATCCCAACATTAATAGGAGCTCAAATCAAAGCATATAGATATCAAGTTTCTAGTTATTAAAGAAAAATTTCAGAGTAAACATATATCAATAGAGCACATCGGGATAAATTCCATAGTTGAGAATCTGTTCACTAAGGGATTACCACCTAAGGTCTTTCATGAGCACATTGCTCATATGGGTGTTGTATCTCTTGAGAATGTATAGTTTTGGTAGGAGTTTTGTACCATAGTTGTTTTTATGATTTCGACATTCTTATATTAAAGCTTTGGTTATGGATTATGAATTTAGTTATTTTTCAGTTATAATGAATGTGATTTATTTTATCTCTGAACTTGCTTAAATTGATTTCACTAAGGTTTAAGGTATGATCAATTGGAAATAGACATGCTTGGGTCACATTATATGTAATTTTCATGCTATATATTCATACTTAATCAATGTCATTCAGTTATATTAATATACGTGACCATTGATGAGTTTAACTACGATAGTTGTAGCGATGACCACTTTGATCCTATGTCGATATCATTGATGGATGAGATTGTTTAGGGATGCATTTAGGTAATGATAGAAAAATTCTAAGTACTCATAAAGTTATTTAATGCACAACTATGAGATAACACATACAAACCAAGTGGAAAATTGTTGAGTTTTAAATTTACCATATGAGTTTATGTGTGTAAATTATTGTGCATAAAAAGTTATCAAATTAATTGAGGTCTGGTTAAAAGTGATCCGATACAGTTAATGATATATTGGGTCTTAATGCATCCAACTAAAGTGTGTACTTTATTTTTATGTGTAAAAATCAAATTTGTAATTTCTAATTTTGTGATAGGTCAAATTAGGAATATAAAAAATTGACAGGCAAGGTTTGCCTATAAATAAACAGTTATGGTGCCTAAATTACACGTAGAGTTTTTCTATTATGATATCTTATCACCAAAAATCGAGAGAGTGTGAGAACTCAAAAAATTACGTACTAATTTAGAAAATCTAACACATGATGTACAGATTTCTTCCACTATGGATTTAGATACACTTCTGTTACACATCTAATCTCTTTGATTTGATATGAACATGATTATTTAGATTTTAGATCTAGTTTTAAAATTCATACAACGTGAATCATTGATGAACTTCAAAACTAGATTCCATGATACTCTCATTCTTCTCTGATCAACGGATAAATCGTTAATTCTTCACTTAAAATTCGTATTAAAAAAATGGTCAAAACCTATAAATTGGAATATTTTTATGTGTTAGTCACAAGGTTTATCTTGCGTTAGTTACGTTTTTCTTTGTCAATCTCATAACTCTTATTAAAGAGAAAAATTGATAGGATAAAGTTGACTTTAAAAGTATAAACCCTGAGGTAACTGATGGAAGTCCCTATTTGAGGGGAAAAGATCTATGAAGTTGACACATGGTCAAACAGTGTTCCTAATTTGCAATTTGTGGAAGCCAATGGACTAATCATTAGAAATCCTAATTTTTTTAGAGTTATAACACCCTTCAACCAGCTCCCTTCCACAAAGACATCTGTATCTTCCACCATAAAATCAATATTAATCTTATACCTTGATCACCTAATAACAGAGAAGCCAATATCTCTACCACACATTTTTTTTTTTTTGGGGTCAAATTTTCTCAATCAAATGAAGCTTAACGCTTCTACTTCCCATGATTTTGGAGGGTGCTCTCAAGCTTATTAAACATGACCTCCTCTTGTGGTGCCTCTAGTGAGGAGTCCTCCTTACTTTACTAAATCTTTCAATAAAATATGCACTCTTTTTGAAATTTTGGCTATTCAAAAACATTAAAAATGTAAGTAGAATGTTCATTTGAAATGAAAAATTGTTCATAGTGATGTTTTTGTGGATTAATGTGCAATGGATGATGGCCTTTGTTTTGTTTTTAACTTTTTTTTTTTTTTTTTTTTTTTTTTTTGTGTGGTCTCTTCTGATTTTTGATTGAGACCAAAAGAGGGACTAAATTTTGGGATTAGATTATTATTATTAAAGCACGTGTTATGGACGTTTTGCTTGATAGCTGCGAATGAAAAATACATTTTGTTGTACTTGTTGATAACAGTATTGATATTCGAATTTTATATTTTACTGAATTTCTTTAAAAAATTTGGTGTACATGCATGTTTTCTACCACATATAAAGCTTGCATTTCTATTTATAACATTATATCTACTTTCGCATTGTGCATCAAATTTAAC